TTTTTTTTTTTTTTTTTTTTTTTCTTTTAAATCCTTCCTCTGTCACGCAGGCATTTAGACTGTGAATTAGGGAACAAGAAACCAATAAAATCCAAGCAGAATGTCAGTGCTGCCCTCCAGGTCCCAGCGTGACCCCGACTCTGGGTTTGGTTCAGAAATGTCCAACTGAGAGAATTCTGTTTACAAATGGGGAGAAATCTCCATTCTGGTGGGATTCATGGTTGCTGTGTTCTAGCAGGAGCTTTGCTGCCGCCTTATTCTTTGCTGATAACTAGACCGAGAATTCAGGGTGAGCAGGGCGGGGAGTGGGGGAATCTTCTAACATCCAGTAGCTTCAGAAATTTTCCAGGGGTATAGAGAGGCCTCTTCAATGTCTATATACAATTCCAGCCCCTAAAGGGTTGGAGATGCTGTATTGAATACCTGCAGGCAAGAGGCCATAAGCATGTATGCACTGATACTATCCACGCTTGTCTTGTTGCATATGGCTGCACAAGGAAAATAACAGCAATATTTTAAAATCTTCCAGCACTACAGCCAGAACTGCAACCCTTAGTCATCACAGACACAGATGCCTTTTTTCCTTGGACCTTTCTCCTGACAGTACCGTTCCCGTCCTGTCCTGCCTTCTTGTTGCCATGAGAGAAGGAAGAAAGGACAGATCTGCATTGAAATGCCAGGTTCACCAAGAATTCAGCTGGCACTGCTTTCGTTAGCGTGTCCCACCAGGGAGAGTCCTACACTAGATCGAACCAGCAGCAGCATGAGAACTCCCTGACATTCTGAATCACAGGCGGGTAAAATTGCACACATTAGAAAGCATTAAAAGAAATGTGAAGTTACAGGTTTAAACTAAGCAGTTTTGTTTAGGACGTTCATAAGAACCAGTGTCCACGTACCGCTTCAAGGTGATGGAGCAGCTGGATGCCGATGTTCTCTCTTAAGATTTGCTCTAGAAACTTTTGCCTTATGACTGCACAACTCCAAACGTGTAGGCGTGCAGACAACTTTTTCCAGTGAGTATTGGGGATGTCTTAGCTCATCTTTAGCTTATGGGACAGAAAGGACACGTACATAACCTCGTTCAGCAAAACACTTAAGCATGTGCAACCATTAAGCACGTGCATAAGTGTTTTTCTGAATTTTATAACAGCACAGACCATGTTACATTCTCTTAGAGCTTGGTTCAGTGTGCCATTTACAGTTACTGCTTGGCTTTTCCTCATGAAGACCACGTTTCCACTTCCTGGTCAATAACATATCGCAAACTAAAATGAATTCACAGCAACACTAAACATTGTACCAACCAACCAAAGCAAAGAAGCCTGATGCAAGGCAGCCCCCCCCCCCCCCGCTCTAGGCTTCCGTCAAAGGTGCTTTCTGTCTGCTTCACTTGCTCTGAATATTTTAAAGCTCTTGGGGGTAGACTAGGTGTTTCTGCCATCACTGAAATAAGTGGTAGCATCTGGAAAGATTTTCAGCCAGTTGAAGTGAAACAGTGGACCAGCCTTAATTCTTCCAGTTTTAGCACCCTCTGTATTAATCACCAGTGATGTTCACACTTACCAGAATCCAGTTTGAAAAAGAATCTAAATTGGTGTTTCTGCATATGCCTTTGAGTGAATAGTCTTTCCTTCCTATTTCAGCTTGAGGGCTGCTGTATCAGCTCTCGGCTTAGAGAGTTTCCAGTTTTTCCATGAGGTTGTACTTTCACCAGCATGTGATCCTGGCTCCTTCTGAAGCTTGCTATTCTTGTGTGGCTTTGTGGGTTGTTTTACATCATACAATAGATTGAGCCGTAAGAAATCTGTTGGAATCGGTCATACGCTTCGCATGGCATCGCTGTTTTGAATGCAGTGCGCGAAGGCAAATTCAGTTTGTTGCTACCCCATGCAGCTGGCAACACTGAGTGAAAAGGGGGTGTGTGCGACAGGAAGAACACAGTATTTTATTAGACAGTGAAGACATAAATGCCCACTGATGCCAACACACCGATCACCTGGAGGCAGGTCTGTATTCATGCTGCTGCTAAAGCACAAAACTCTACTTTCCCCATCTCATTATATCATAATAGCTTGCAGCTTGGCCCTGACCGGGGCTGTTAAGAACAGTTGCATACACATCATAAGGCTATTAGAGTAGGGTTTAATTACTGAGTGTTCAGTTATACCTATGCTGAGAAACTGCTTAGCAGCCGCCTGCATTTCTGAAGCAGAATCATAAATAAGAAATCCATAATATTAATGGTCAGAAAAAGGTCTGTTCCCTAATCACAGTAGAACTTACACAGTGGAGAAACGGTAACTGCCACTCACTGTACTGGCTGTAACATGAAGTGGCTCCTTTAAGATTGCCAATATAATTTTGTTTTAATGATTAACTGTCCCTACAAGGCCACTAGATTTTTGCTGGACATTTTGGTGCTCACTTTTAAGACTGGTTTCAGTATATTCAAGCCTAGAGTCACAAGCCTTTTTTATAAATGAAAAACCTTCCTCTTCAGTTTCCCTGTATTCTTTCTCATCGGTGGCCTCAGTGAGAGGGTATTTGTTCATGTAACAAACCCAAGTGGTTTCTTTGGAGCTGACGGCTAAAAAGCCCTGGCCATTGCAATAGTCAAATAAAACAATACCCCTGTGCCCACGTACTTGGTCACAGTCCTCCAGTAAAACTTGCCTCCTTTGAAAGGCGCTGAAGGTATCTTCTCATGCTGTGACTTTTCAGCGCACAAACTGCTTATCTTGGAAACAAAAATCAGTATTGGAAAATGCAAAAGGTCTGGTGAGGTGACTGAAAAATCTTTTTTTATGGGAGAAGCGGATCCAATCGCTGTCGGCTTCTTACCACTGGGCTGGGTTTAGTAAAAACATGTTTTGTCCTCCATCCTGCAAAGTCACTGAGCTCTGATCACTGTTTGGGGGGGTGTGAGGTCTATTTGTAGCACCCTGCCATGCTGTGTTAGATATCATCTTTATTAAATTCAGTCCTTCAGGCCTGATATGCATTGAATCAACGTAGTCTTTTAAGGACTTGAGACTTTTTTTTTTTTTCTTTCTTGCTTCCTCCCGGACCTCAGGAATACCTACAGTATCTTCATCGGTATTTAAAACAACCACCTTGAACCTTAAAGCTTTCTACTGCTACAGAGGCACCTCTCACACTGAATGGCATTGGGTTGACCTCTACTACTTAACCTGAGGAGAGGGTGGTAGCCAGTATCTGATTCCCCCACCCCTTGTCCCTCTGCCTAAACTAATCAGCACTCCAGTGGTATTTCCCTACACCGGATGGAATATACTCGTTTTGTTTGCATGTCTCTTGTCTTTCACCCCAGGTTGTTTTCGAGCAAAACCAATATCAATTCTTAAAGTGAAAAAACAAATGCCGCTCGTAAATTTATGCTGAACTGTCACAATAGGGTTCTGCACTCTTGCCCTTGATTTTGTTCACCAGCCCTCGATTGTGTGGGGCGTACGGCAGAAGACGAAACCCGTACAAAGTAACCCAGGAAATATTCTAGCAAGTCTATGGGCGATGATCAAAATAGCTTCGTCTCAATCACAAGCCAAATTGAAACTGTTCAAGTCACGGGGTCTTCCCGTTGCTGCTCATGTCACTTCCCAGTTTGTCCGTCCATCTGTTCTAGTCCTCGTGGTGATTCTGGCATGGTAATGTTTCACTGCTTTGCTTCATTTGTGGTTTCTCAACCAGCACATTTTGCATTTGGACATGTCAACCCACTGGAGCGGAAGGAACCAGGAATGGAAAGAAATGGCCCCTTCCCTCCTGTGTCCCTGTGTGTGTTGCAGAAGGCATGTTCTGCATGGTTACAAATAAATGGCTCCCAAAGTGGTCTCTCTATGAATGACGGAAATGTTGGTCTTTATTTCCTTGCTCACCTCCACCCGTCTCAGCCCTGAACATAAAGGTCCCATGTAACGCGCACAAAGTGTGATCCAGTGTAGCTGGTGCTGTGAGTGAGGTTTCCCGTTGACTCAGGTGTACAGGATGACTTTGCCCTGCCAGTCATTTTAGGTTCATCCCAGTGTAGGAATGACAAGTGAACTTCATTGGTATTTAAGTCTGTGTAAATTTCATTTTTTGTTAATGTCTCCCCAACGAATTTTTAGCAATTGAACAAATAAAACAAATAAATGGATGGCTGTTTAACTTTTTTTTTTTTTTTTTTTTTTTTTAAGGATCATGG